GCTTTCAAGGCTTTATTTGATGAAAAATCCCCCACTCCCTACCGCTATTCTAAATAAAAAAGGCGGGTCAATCCACGAAACTTTCATTACAGTAGGGTTTGAGAAGGTTAGTTGTATATAATTTTATTTTTATATATAAAGAAATTATTTTCGCGACTCTTAACACTTAAAAGTCCAAATCAAAATACAATAACTTTACCTCTACGTTAAACCTCACTCTAAATAAGTCACTAAATTGTGATTACATGATCTGAGCATTATTAGTTAAGTTAATTATTTATTTTTGATCTTGAACTACGTTTTCTGTCAATTTAGCCCCTAAACTATAATATTTGTGCCAATATGATTATTCCGTTCAAATTCATCGTTAAGTTCGATAGAATTCCTCATGTGCACAACATGAAACCCATAAATTATACTCTAATTCTCGACTCACGTGATGCACACGCGAAAAATTTTGTTCAAATAAACAACGAATTTGGACAGAAAGGTCACATCGACACAAATGGTATAGTTGAGGTTAAATTGACACAAAATAAAATTCAGGAATTTGATTAACACAAATGATATTTATAATTCAGGGGTCAAATAGATAATTAACTTTTATTAGTTCGAGTTGAAATCCGAGTTTTGATTTGCATATAGGAATAATATTACATACATCTAACCTGAATATTTCGCACAATAAACTATTATTTTCAGATAAAATAATATTCTTAAAGTCCAAAATTTGTATATTAGGTTTGAAAAAAGAGCTTTTTAATATTAGAGAATGGCATGTGGTGGCCATCTCAGATGTCCACACTAGAAGTAAATGAAGATTCTTCAATTGCTTGGAAGCTGCAAGGAATATGCTGTTATTTACTCTACTCTTGGGCTGACAGTAAAAAGCTAGTAACATCTGTCAAAATTTCGCTGGCACTTCAAGTTCAAAGATACCTTGGATATTGAATAAATAATAGGCGTAACGGTGACATTACATTATCAATATTATAGGGTGTCATTATTTAATAATAAACTTATAATTGAATAAAGTGAACTCTACTTAGTAATTATTTTCGTACATGAGTATGGTACTTACCAAATTAAGTAGGGTCCATTTGTTTACGAACAATGCTATAGAGACTTTATTTGGAGACTTAATTTAGAGACATAATGATGTAGTTTCAAAACAATCATTGAATTAGTTGTGAGTTTCAATATTAGATGGAGCCCACATCCAATTTAATAGTTGTACACCATTAGATACCTAGATTAGATCCTCAAATTAGGTCCAAATAATATTTTTCTTTGTTTACATATTAATTTGTTATTAGAAGTTAACACTGTATAGTAATAATAATGTGGTATCAACCCTTGGGGTGGTCTATTGGTTAGACTCGTCATTTGGTTACTCAAAAATCTCATGTTTAATTCTTTTTCGCACCTTTGTCCCTTTGGGACATATTCTAGACCAACTCAAGCCACGGTGGATAACTGTTAAGTTCAACAAAATAGTCGGTGTAAATCTGAACATCTTGTAACTAATATAATAATAATAATAATAACAACATGATATTACCATTATATTCAATATTTTCTTCTTGAATAGTAGGTCCCCAAAAGATTAAAAAATTGAGAAGCACTTAATATAGTTTATTTTTTATTGGTTAAACAGTCAAAAATGTATAAATTAATTTGCGTGCATTTCGGTTAATTCTCTTTTCGATATCATCAAAGATAAGCCAAAACGCTTGTTATTTAAAAGAGGGAATTGTACCCCCAAAAAAAAAAACA